GGCCGTTGGGCCGTTCATCCGTCTTTGGCCTCACTGGCCACTGGGAGTTCCGGGGCAATGGACGCGGCTGGCCGGAGCAGGGAACCAGAAGCAGAGCCCTGGGAGGGCATTCTCCTCAGCCTGGCCCCCACCCTCTCCCGTCTGCGTGGTTCATGGGCACCTGCCTCGGCTGAGCAGCAGGGACAGCGGAGAGAAGGCAGGACCAGGGAAGGCAGGGAGAGGCACAGAGGAAACTGGATGATGAGGAGATACCTGGGTGTCATCGAGGAGACTCCTGGGTCTCACAGGGAGGCTGGTTCCCAGGAGAGGGCCCAACAGGACGGCCAGCTGAGGAGTGAGACAGTGACAACCAAAGGGGCAGAGGATAGCAGCACTGAGAACCTCCCCAGCCTTCTCCTAGAAAGAGAACGATGGTCTTAGGGCCAGGGGCTGCAATGGGTCAGGACAGAGCCTAAAAGACCGTGCGCTGCAATGCCAGGCTGAGGCCAGGATGCCACAGCTGTCAGCACGTGATAATCGGACCAGCCTTCCTCCTTGGGAAAACAGCTTCTGTTTGCTCCATAGCAGAGAGCATTCCCTTCTGCCTCCATGCCCTGCTCCTGCCCCTTTGCCCCTGGAGGGACCAGACAGCTCAGAGGGGCCCACTGGTGACGGGTAGGGCTGTGCTGCTGTGGCAGAGAGTGTCAGTCCAGCTCATAGACTGACAGGCCACAGGCAGAGGTGGCCAGGCCTGGAGCCTTCTCTACTGCCCCAGCCCTGACGCCATACTGCCTGTGCTTGGGAGCTGCTGCTTGATGGTCCCTGGTTGAATGGCCTCTGGGGAGGTTCTGTCTTCATTTTAATGCTGATTGCGGTCAGGCTCTCTTTCTTAGTTCTGCCTCACCCCCAGTATTTCTGGTTAAGTCTGCCCAGAGAAAATGGGTAAATGGGCACGTGACTGAGAAACCATCTCAATAAGGTTCCCCCCGCCCCATCTCTGCCAGTCACCCCCATTTCATCACATCCTTCCTCGTTACCTCCCTGTCCTTATTCCCACACCTCTTGTCTCTGTTTGCACTGGGGGGGCCAGCTGCTGCCAATGGCCGTTTTTCCATGTAACTGGTCTAGTCTTGGGGGTTTCAGGGCTCCCCAGCCCCTGCTCTCTAAAAGCCATATCAGGTCCCAGGACTCCAGGGGGCCCAGGGCAGGGACTCGCTTGATGTGACTAAAGGACCAGGCCTTTCTCTTCCTCAGGACCCAGCCTCAGCCTGGCCGAGGCCCAAGCATCTCAGGCCCACCTGGCTGCCTTCAGCTGGGAGGATCTTGAATCTAGAGTCTTAAAAACATCACTGAAATCCAATCGTCTGGCCAATGCTGGAGCAGCCCTATGAGTCCTGCCCTCAGAGATGGCAGTGGTGTCCTGGCTCCTGGGATAGCTTTGCTGTCCACACCCCCCCAGGGTTGGCGGGGGTGGGGAGGAAGGGCATCCTACCCAGCCTGTGTCTCGAACCCCTTCTCCTTGCAGACATCCGGGACAGTGGTGCTAAGCCCGTCATGGTCTACATCCACGGAGGCTCTTACATGGAAGGGACAGGCAACATGATCGATGGCAGCGTCCTTGCCAGTTATGGCAACGTCATCGTCATCACCCTCAACTATCGGGTTGGGGTGCTAGGTATGGTTCCCTGCCTAGAAGGAAGGCTGGCTCTTCGAGGGTGGAGGCAGAAAGAATTCTGGGGAGTTAAAAGCAGGCAGTCTTGGTTCTCTAGCTGGCGCTAGGGACTAGAGTCGAAGCGTTATCCCATGGCCCCTGCCCAAGTGTCGGCGGCATCCCCATATCCCCAAGCCCTTTCGTGGAATGTTTAGATGCCACTGGAAAATCAAGTCGGACTTCACACATTCTCTAAGGTCTCGAGCCAGGCCTCTGTGCCCAAATTTTTGCTTGGTTGAGTTTGGTAGGATCCACCGATGTTTTAGTGTCCTGTCTTCATCCCTACCCCTGCCCTCACATTCCTAAACACTCCATACGTACACACCCATGTCTACACACCCATAAACCTTCACATGTGCACACATTTACCTCCCTCCACCCCCATCTATACAGTTACTCGTCACCCCCACAATGCATATACTCACATAGCGCCCCGCATCCACAGCTGCAGATCCCCTTCCACGGAAGCACTTTCTCTCACCACTCCGCATGCACTCCACGCATAGACTCTTCCTCCCACACATCTCCATCCCCGTATACTCCATATGCTCCACATTCACACATCGGGTACACGCAGATTTCTGTCACCTTCCATAGCTACAAGGGGTCTTCAAGAACTTCATGGATGATACACATTATGAAGAAACTATGCATGGATTTCAAAAATGTTTTGCAAAATAAATGTGTCCCCTC